GGGACATAGGGCCGGGAGCTAACTCCGGCCACGGTGGGGCTCGAACACCCGAAGCTGTTCGGCCAGGTGGAAATGCAGGCTTCATTTACTGCCTGCGCCACCGCTCCCTATTCCCCACCCCACCCATTTGGTGTAGTGGTTAAGTGTGCATACTCTATTCTGGGAGAACCGGGTTTGATTCCCCACTCCTCCACTTGCACCTGGCTGGATGGCCTTGGACAAGCCATAACTCTGGCACAGCTGTTCTTGAAAAAGAGCATTTTCTGTCAAGAGTCCTCTCAGCCCCACCTGCCTCACAGGGTGTCTGTTGTTGGGAGGGGAAGGGAAAGGAGTTTGTAAACCGCTCTGAGACACCTTTGGGTAGTGAAGGGTAGGGTATAAATCTTATCTCTTCTCTTCTTCTTCTCTTTCACTATCCTATCAGTGGGTAATTAAATTTGTGGGGCTATTTTTCAGAGGAAGTCTTTGACAGGGACAAAGTAGCTTCCAGGTCTTGGATTAACCCTCATCATGATATTTACTAATTCCATTCATACTTTCTTTCCATTTCAACTATTAAAATTTCATTGCTAATGTACCAAATGGCATGAAGAAACTTGCTAGAATTTCCACCTACATAATTCTTTTTGTAAAAATATAGCTACCAATTCAGAGTCCCATGGAACTGAATGAAACCAGAATATAGGTAGTATTGTGTAGTGTAATCCTCAATAGATTTACAGTCTTCTAAATCCATCACTGCAGCTCTGCTGAGGATATCACTGCAAGGGGCCTTCATAAAGCCATATGAACAAAATGGTTGCCACTGTTCTTTCATGGGAACATCTGCACATTTTGTGCATCCATTTCTGTTACTCTTTCCTATTAAAAACAAGCAGAAATGTGTCTTTAAAAGTATTACCTACATCATATGAACCTTTTGAAATTTCCACATGCATACTTCTCCTCTGTCTAATGCTTCACATTTATTTAAAAACTGAAATCCTAGATTTCTGACAAGAACTTCAGGCTCAATAGGTGATATGTTCTAAGAGGATGAAGCTCAGCTTCTATCAGAAGATGAGCATATCTTATGTCTTTATCGGAAGAGGTTTTCAAGCATCATGTGCATCATCTCTATTTTCTGTGCAGACTGGAATGGAGTCTATTCATTCAGCTGCCAGTCAACAAATGTATGCCCATCAAATCTAATTAGTGAAGGTAAAGACATGTTACATTTGCAGTACTTTTCAGCTGCCCTCAGAGGATTGGCAGTGGCTGGGAATGAGGCTGGACCAAACGTAACCCATATAAAGCAAATTGCAAAACAGGCTTAGGAGGAAGGAAATTGATTATGATCCAGGATTGCAAGAACAGGCATTTGAAGGAGAGAGAGGAACCAGGTGGTAAAAAACCCTCTTCTCCCTGTTCTGAGACCTGGAGAAATTCATGGGCTGATGTCCATATGGCAGCAGAAAGATGAGCTGCTGTTGTTCAATAATATGCATTCACTTCCATTATAATCTGTGTAAAACTGGTTTCCAGATTTCATATTTTTGTGATTTATTTATTTGATTACTTCATTTGCTTCATTTATAATTTGACTTTCCTGTTTTTCTGCTGAAATGGTTTACAACTAGTAAGAGCAATATACTACATGCAACCAAGAAAATTAGAGAACAATGCACTAAGTTACAGAGGTTGCGGTCACACGCGCCAGATAAACCGGGTGGGAAGCAAGGCTATTCCCTCCGGAGAAATATGACCCGCAGTTTGGTGATCACATAGTCCTTAAAAGCTACGGGCGCCACCCACCACTACATGATTAGCCGCAACTGCGGGTGAGTTGGGTTGTGGGGTTTTTTGCTGTTTGTTTCTGATTTGCTTAAACGGGGAATTGATGAATCGCTTCTCCGCACTGAGGGCTCCCTATGGTTGATTTGCATATTGAGAAGGGTAGGGAAACAGCAGCATGGAGTCGGGATGGCCTGATCAGACCATTCCAATGCCATGAGAGCATGCTGGAGCAATCAGACAGGAGAAAGTCTGTCTGTGGCCCATAGCAACCTGTTTACTACCAGACTTTACCCTGTGTCTTTTAACTCTGCTTCTGCGGTGGAGCAAAATGGGTCGCCGATGGCTGTGGGGCACTTCCCAGATGTTGTTGTCTGATCACACCCTTTAAATCCACTTGGCATTCACACCTATGGAGAGTGCGAGGCTAATTGTGTGTGTGATCGCAGCCGGTGTAACACCGACAGTAAAGGATTTTTACAATACTGTCTCTGCATCCCAAAATGAAGAGACGTGACTCAAGCAATGGGTTAAACTGGGGCTTTATTAATGGAATTTCTGCCATAGTGGTGCGTTTAACACTTTCCTTCAATGGGCAACACATAACTAATATCTCATCCGATATGACATCAGCATTCTGATGACCCATCCAAGCTCAAACCCAAGCACTGCAGCGCTGCTGTGCCTCATGTTTCATTGCTACTATTCCTATAATAATGTACCAAATGCCTTTGCCTTATCACCATTCTTGTTTGTTAGTGAACTCTGGCATTCAGTGATGCTACTCCATCCATTGTAGTGGCCTCATCAGTTTCCTCAAACCAGTCAACCATTAGATTCAGCCAATCTTCCCTCATCCTCGAATACCCCAGAATGCTCATCAAATTTATTTTTGTTTTTCCTCCCCAACCCACTCTGCTCTTGCCAACTAATCCCTACTAAAAAAACCCAATTACTTACCATCAGTTGGTTGCCCGTCGCCTTGCCGACGTGGGGATTCAGGGGCTCGCCCTTCAATGGCTTGTCTCTTTCCTCCAAGGTCGGGGACAGAGGGTGGAATTAGGGGAGCAGTGGTCCCGGAGGTACCCGCTTGAATGCGGTGTGCCCCAGGGGGCAGTGCTCTCCCCGATACTATTCAACATCTATATGCGCCCCCTCGCCCAGATTGTCCGGAGGTATGGGCTTGGGTGTCATCAATATGCCGAGGACACCCAGCTCTATCTGATGTTGGGTGGCCAGTCAGACTCTGATCCAGAAGATCTGCACCGGGCGTTGCAGGCTGTATCTGGATGGCTCAGGCTGAGCCGGTTGAAGCTGAACCCGGCGAAGACGGAGGTCCTGTGTCTGGGCCGGAACGGGAAGGGATTGGGGCTCCCGCTCCCGGCCTTCGATGGGGCGCCGCTGGTGCCAGCTTCGGAGGTAAGGAGTTTGGGAGTGCTCCCGGACTCCACCTTATCAATGGAGGCCCAGGTAGCAGCCACTGCCAAAGCGGCCTTTTACCATCTTCGGCTGGTGCGGCAGTTGGTTCCCTTTCTCAGCCGCGAAGACCTAGCCACAGTGATCCATGCGACGGTCACCTCAAGGCTAAACTACTGCAACGCTCTCTACATGGGGCTGCCTTTGTCGCTGATTCGGAGGCTGCAGCTAGTGCAGAATGCGGCGGCCAGGCTGGTTGCTGGTGTCTCGAAATGGGATCACATCCAGCCTGTGCTCAAAGCGCTGCACTGGCTGCCTATAGCATACCGGATTCGCTTCAAAGTGCTGGTGCTTACCTTTAAAGCCCTACATGGCCAGGGTCCAGCATACCTGAGGGACCGCCTTGCCCCACATAGATCCCAAAGAGCACTTCGGTCGGGGTCGTTACATCACCTTGCGATCCCAGGCCCAAAGGAGGCAAGGCTTGCGGCCACTAGGGCCAGGTCCTTCTCGGTGGTGGCTCCTATCTGGTGGAACGAGCTCCCGGAAGAGATCAGGGCCCTGCGGGACCTGTTGCAGTTCCGCAGGGCCTGCAAGACGGAGCTCTTCCACCAGGCTTTCGAATAGGAGCCGCCGCCGCTACCACTACCACCAATGGGGACCATTTCTACAGCACCGCCGGAGGTTAAGTGGCTAATAATATCAGGGGGCCACAGTAACCTCCCCTGGAATGGATTGGGTTGTGCAATACTGGAGAGAGGGTTTTCTAGTCACGCGGGATCCTTGGGCGTTCCCATGTATAAATTGTTTTAAATTGTTTTATTGTATTTTATTGCACTTTTGTGCCTTATGGTTGTAAGCCACCCTGAGCCCACATGCGGGGAGGGCGGGGTATAAATGAAATTAAATAAATAAATAAATTAAGCTGCCCCAAGCAGGAACATGAAGAGCCAACTTAAAAATATTCTAAATAAATACATAGATAAATCGACCAATCTAGAAGATATTCCCCTTCCTTCTCCAATAATGTGGAACAGGCAAAAATTGCCCTTCTTTTTCCCCAGTAAAACAGTAAACCACTGTGTACAAATAAACAATATAAGTTGATTTTTATCTGCAATGTTTTAGAATTCAATTATAAACAAAATTACAACTATAACATTATAATATGCAATATAAAGTTTAGCAGTACATATAGAATACTACAGTGCTAGTTTCAGACAAACGACGGAGTTCTAGTACACTGTCTGTTTATGAGTCCTTCTTCAGGTTTGTCATTCTGTACTTATATCTTCATTAGAATGAAGTGCTGCAAGCCATATTTCAAAATGCTAATTCTTATACAATTTTGATGTACGCTACCGCACTTATTCTGGTGACTGGGGAGCTCCTATAGCAAGCTCTAATGTGAATGGGTCTACAATATATAATAATTGGCTAAGCTTCCCTCCCTTCTTTTTTTCCAGCATGAGAAAGGATTCCCCAAAATTTCTCCTTGAACAAGAAGTGAGCAAGTACCTCACCCATTGCTATGACAAAAACTGACAGTGAGGGAGGTTTCATGCAGCAGGAAAGTGCCTACCCAGAGGAGAGAGGGGCTGCTTAAATACAACATCTCAAATGCTGTTCTGATAAATCCATCCCACAAACTAATATTCCATCTTTCAGAGGGGGTGGGACAAAGACATTCCTGTGGTTGCACTTGGACTTACTATTTATATCTAATCAGATATTGTTTGTTAACATATCTCAAACTAGAAAAGGGAATTTTGCTTCCCTCCTTTTCATCACTCTCTTTTCTTCTTAAGAAATCATGAAATTAGTTTCTTAATTTGGAGGGGTATTTTCCACATACCCTCTTGGATATCCTTGTTCCTGAGGCTATAAATGATTGGATTCAGAACTGGTGGTAAAACAGTATATACAACAGCAGAGATTAAATCCAGAGTTGGAGAGGAAAGTGCTTTGGGCCTCATGTAGGAAAAGACAGCGGTGATAATAAATAAAGAAAATACAGCCAGGTGGGGAGTGCAGGTAGAGAAGGCTTTGTGTCTGCCTTGAACGGATGGAATCTTGAGTACCGTAGAGAAGATGTAGCCATAGGAAACAAAGATGAATATAAACATAAAGAAGTCCACAATAAGCCCAAGAATAAGAAGTTGTTCATTAACTTTTGTATCAGTGCAAGAGATCTTTTGTAGCTGAGGGATATCGCAGAAAAATTGCTCAATAAGATTGGATTGACAGAAGCTTAAACTAAATGTTACACCAGTTTCTAACACTGCATGCATCACACTGCTTATCCAAGTAGCAGCTGCCATCTGAGCACAGGCATCCCAATTCATGATTAATCTGTACTGGAGAGGATGGCAGATGGCTACATAGCGGTCATAAGCCATAACAGTGAGGATGGCGAGCTCAGCAGTGACACACATGACAACAAAGAAGATCTGTGTGACACATCCAGAGAAAGAAATATGGTTGTTGTTTGTCAAGGAAATGGCCATGGATTTGGGGACAGTGGTAGAGATGACACAGGTATCCATCACTGACAAGTTCACCAAGAAAAAGTACATGGGGGTGTGGAGGTGATGGTTCAGGGCCACGGCTATGACAATGAGACAGTTCCCTGTTACGGCTAAGAAATAAGTGGAAAGGAAAATCACAAAGTGCAAAATTTGCATGTCACGGTCATCTGAAAACGTCATCAGAAGAAACTCTTTCACAATGGATTGATTGGCTATTTGAGTCCTTACAGCCATTCTGTGGAGAGATGGAAAGTTATTAATGAAGTACATCCAGTTTTGGAGAATTATTTGTATCATATGCATTTTAGTAACACATAGTAGTCCTATCTATCTACCTATCACCTATCTGTTATGTTATATATCTTCTATTAGTCTTCAAGTTTATCTTCCAAGTTTGCCACTTGTGAATTCAAGTCAAGAAGAATAACCAAAATATAAAGTCTGAAGTGTTCTGCTTAGTTACATTATTGAAGCTTGAACGTTGGAAGAAAGGTATGATGTCTATTATGTTTTTTTTAAAAAAAACATTTTGAACCTTATCCTCACTGTCTGAACACCTCCCACCCACATATTTTGTCCCTGTAAACATCCTTATTTGTTTATTCAAGAAAAGAATATACATCTACATCAGAGTGTTCAGAGTCAAGTAAAAGCAATTCTGACAAAACCAGAAAGCCTCCCCCTACAATTTACATATCCTTATTTCATATCCCGAGTAAGTTTGTCAGCAGTAATGAAGCCATGGACATAGTAATGACACTATTTGTTTGAGCTTCATGGGTTCTGTTCCATGAATGGAAGATCCTTCATCTGTCACTTTCTTCCAGGAGAAGAGGTATGTTTCACAGGTAGAAGGCTTCTAGCACTAGAGAGAAGCTCCACTATTGATGGAACAGAACCTTTGGAGTCCATCTCAAGTTTATAAATGCACATAATTATGGATAATGGAAAAGACAGAAATCAGCTGAAAGAATTAGAAGCCGACAGTTTGAAAAGCCATGAATGCAATATTGTGAGCCAGTTTGGTATAGTGGATAAGTGCATGGACTCTAATCTGGGAGAACCAGGTTTGATTCCCTACTCCTCTACTTGCACCTGGCTGGATGGCCTTGGGCAAGCCATAGCTCTGATAAGAGCTGTTCTTGAAAAAGAGCAGTTTCTGTCAGAGCTCTCTCAGCCCCACCTACCTCATAGGGTGTCTGTTGTGGAGAGGGGAATGGAAAGGAGTTTGTAAGCAGTTCTGAGACACGTTTGGGTAGTGAAGGGCGGGGTATAAATCCAATCTCTTATTCTTCAATATTAATTGATGGATCTTATCAGCTATAAAACATTCAAAGAGAAATGTTTCCAACCAACTCAGAGACCCAGCTGTTTTACTGTAAACTTGAATTGGATGGCTATATGTTGAGTGACCCTCCCCCATTTTATGGAAATGAACTAAGATTCAGAGGGATTTTTTTTTGTGAAAACTCCTCAACGTTACTAAGGTTGCATACAAAAGATGGGCCTCAGTCTGGTTTTCACTGGATCTCATCAAATTCCGCTCCTTACTATAATCCCCATTACACATAGTGTTGGTCAATTTTGGTCTCACAATCCTTACTGTGGCATATTTGGGTATTCTAAAGAAAGTCTTCTTCCCCTGTGCAACAGTGGAAAAGCTGGATGAAGCCAGAGGTACCTTTTAATGAGTGCTGAATAACAATGTCCACTCCCCCATTTTACTATTTGTTTGTTGGCTATCAAGTTGGGAGTCTTCCCCCCCCCCGAAGAAATGGCTTCTGAACCTCAGTTCTACTATTAATTTCAACGTTCTTTTGTTAACTCTGTTTATTCAGTCTTCCCATACAATTAATAAAAATCTCATCTCATATTTACCAAACAGCATGAAATATCACACATGGAGAATCCCCATTTATATCTAAGATCATCCACAATTTTGTTTGCAACAAAGAAACCCACCAACTCAGAATACTGCATTACTGAATAACCGAAGAATATTTGTTAGCAAAAGCAATGGGTTCATAAACTCATGTGAATGAAACAAAGAGTTGCTATATAATATACCTCCATTTGCACCGTTCTTTCAAGGAGAAAGATAGCTGTAAAATATGATAGATCTTAATTTCTAAATTTCCTCTTCTATAAAGCTCTTTAGTCTTTATATTCCATTCAAAACTGAAGTCCAGACCATCTGAAGAGACTGCCAAATGTATTAGATAATCAAATACAACAGGATAAAACTCACCTCTTCCATAGCGTCTCTCAGTAGACGAGTGTGTCTTTGAGTCTTGAGTTCGGTCTTTATTAGAAGACTCCTGTGTTGTGAAGTACAGAGTGAGTCATCTCTGTTTTCTTCAGGGAGCTGGATCAGGGAATTGCACCACCAAGAATATCATGGTAATCTTTAATTATGTAATCTATGGACTCGTTTCACTGGAGCCTATTCATTCAGCTGCCGCTCGTGTCTATGAGTAACCAGTGTCATACCATACATTTGTAAACCTGCTACAGGACATGCAGTGTGCCCTCATTTGTACTCAATAATGGGGTTTTTTTGCTGACCATGTAAGTAAAATATTGATGTACTTCTCCAGTCTGTTATGTGTTACACTGCCCTGAGCCTGCCTTGACAGGGAGCATGGGGTATAAATCTAATAAAATAATAAATAAATAAATGGACCATCCTGCAGGCATGGGATACCATTTCCCTGAAAAGTTGTTGCAGAGGAATATTGCAGTTATCAAGCAGAAAACCACACAGACCTATGGTGATACTTCACTTTCCTCTGTATCCCACATGATTTCCTCTTTCCCTCCTCCAGGCAGCCTCCTCATATTCTCTTCTTTTGCCCCTGATTCCTTCTCTCCTTCTTACTCACCACCCTTCCTGCTTTTTATCTGCCTGCTCTTCTGCTTTATTATTTAATAGAGGGGTTCCCACTCACTCTGCTCCCAATATGTAATAATAATTTGAATACTGATTGAGCAGCTCCACCCTCCCTGTCTGTGCTGTCTTTCTCACCAGTGGGGAAACAAAGCAGTTTACATTGCTCTCCTTCCCTTCATTTTATTTTCACAGAACCCCTGTCAAGCAGGGCTCTTTTTGTAGAAAAAGCCCAGCAGGAACTCATTAGCATAGTAGGCCACACCCAACACCAGAAACTCATTAGCATATTAGGCCACACCCCTGCCAGCACAGCTCATTAGCACATTAGGCCGCACCCACATGTTACCAGAAGTGTGGTTATCCAGCCACACCCACCTTTTGCTTGTTATTCTGTTTACCTTGTTTGTTGTCAAAACCCAGGGCCTTTTTTTGTAGCAGGAACTCCTTTTCATGTTAGGTCACACACCCCTAATGTAGCCAATCCTAATGAGTTTCTGCTGTTGGGTGTGGCCTATTATGCTAATAAGTTCCTGCTGGGCATGGCCAACTTGGGAGCCAGCCGGAACTCCGTTCCTGTGCGTTCCTGCCCCCAAATAGCCCTGGTTATGCTGGGGATCATGGGAGCTGTGTGTGAACCCATGTGGGGTGGAGACTGTAGAACGTGATAACGGATCCATCGAAAGTCAATATTGTCTCCCATGTCAGCTTTTTGAATTTGTCCTTGAGTGTGTTTCCTGAGATTGTTTATTCCTTTTAAATCCTGGACGAGATTTTCCATGTGTTTTGTGGCTATTATATTGTGGATAGAGTTCTTCTGACTTTCAAAAAGGGTTTACCTGAAAACAGGCTCTAGCTGGCTGTTGGGTGTGGCCTATTATGCTAATGAGTTCCTGCTGGGCGTGGCCAACTTGGGAGCCAGCCGGAACTCCGTTCCTGTGCGTTCCTGCCCAAAAATAGCCCTGCTGTCAAGTATGTCTGGCTGAAATGGTGTGACTGGCATAAGACTGCTAGCTACCTTCCAAGGCAGAATGGGGATTAGGATCCAGGTCTCTTTGAGTGGGGAGTGGAGGTAGAGAAGGCCTTGTATTTGCCCTGAGGTGATTGAATCATCAGCACTGTTTGAAAAGATGTAGCCATAGGAAACAAAGATGTGCACAAAATGGAAGGAATCCACAATCAATCCAAGAACAAGGATGAGAACTTGATTAGCTTTTGTATCTGTGCAAGAGATCTCCTGTTGCTGAGGGATATCACTAAAAAACTGCTCAATAACATTGGGCCTGCAGATGTTAAACTGAAATGTAAAACATATTTCCATTGGCTCTCTTGCAAGTTACAGGATTCTTTTTCTATCTGTTTGAACCCTTCACTTTGCTCTCTGTTTGCGGCCCCAGCTCCAATGCAGCATCAATTACTAACTTCAGACAAGATATGTTCCAACTGAGGAGCAAATGAAATCACACAGTGACTACCCTCAGGGCATAATAATTTAATTTGATATTGCCGTTCAGTTAGAAAACAAGATCCGATCTGTGACTGTAGACAGACATAGTTGTAGTAGAATTTATTACGGTCGCTAGACCAACCACATATAATAGTTATAATAGTAGTTTTTTGAAACATACAGAGTACAAAATATACAAAAATAAAAGATTTAAATTTAAAACATATTTAAAATATAGCTTCCGTAACCTCTGTATCAATGCACAAAATCTAGCTACTTGATAAGTGATCTTAGAGTTCTTATCAAATAAAAGACAGTCAAGCTTGGCTTTGCTTGTGCAACCAGAAATCTTATCCAGCAATGGAGTAATAATCTCCAAACGAGCCTCTTTATAATATGGGCAACTAAAGAACATATGTTTGATGGACTCCCTTAATGGGCACGTACATAATCTTTCAAGGTAGGGGATATTCTTATACCTGCCTTCAAGCACTGCAGAGTGGAGTGCAGAACTCCTTGCCAAGGTGAACACCCTTCTAAAACCGTTTATTTCCAAAGAGGCCAGATAAGCTGCCGGCACAACAGTATATTTGACATTTGACAGTGCAATAATGTTTGGTACACTAGAAATGTCAGTCTGGCGTTCTATAGCTTCAATTCTCTACTTAGCCTTTTTGCTTGTTCAATTCTGCAAGATAAGAGTACCTCAGGAGAGTATCCAATGCTGTTAATGTGGAGCAAATGAAATCACACAGTAACTACCCTCAGGGCATAATAATTTAATTTGGTATTGCCATTCAGTTATCAAACAAGATACGATCTGTGACTGTAGACAGACATAAAGTAGATATACCTCTGCATTAGGGGTGGGCACAGACTGGGAAATCCTGGTTCGGTTCA